GCAGCAGGGAAGTGCTTGTTACGTTGTATAGTATTTGGGATTTTGGCTTTATAGACGTTGCTGCTTTAACTGACTGATAAGACGTCTGTGTTTATGTATAAAGCCAGGAACAATTTATTACCTGGTGGAATTCAAAAACTATTTAATGAAAGGGAAGGGGGATACAATTTAAGGGGTCAGTTAAATTTAAAAGTTCATGCTATACGTACAACCAAAAAAAGATTTTGTATTTCCATAAGTGGGGTAAAACTATGGAATAATTTAAGTGTAGACATAAAAAATAGTAATAGAATTGATGAGTTTAAACATAAATATAAAGGTATGTGTCAATCAAGATATATGCAAGAACAGGCTTAATGATTAATTAGATGGAGAATTGTGGGTGTGGTGTACATGTTGTGATAATTCTTTAGTATATTACTTGTGTGATGTAAGAATGTTAACACTGTTATAATCTTTTTTTTTAGTATAATATGTGTGTGGGTAGAAGTGAATCATTTACTGCTTGCAAACCAATGATGGTAAGATGATGTCATGGGGTAGGACTGGATAAGTCTGACTTCTTCCTACTCCATTCAAGCATGTACTAGGTATAAGCAAATTGATATTGGATTATGTGTAAAATTATGTGTGTTGTCATATCAACAGTTTTTACATGCTTGAAAGAATAAATCAAATCAAATCAAATCAAAGGAGAAGACTGTCTTTGATTAGAGAGACTTACTTTATTTAGGCCTAGTCATTATCTTCTCTCCTCTAAGCCCGTTAACATTCCTCCATGGATGAGGTGGGTGTGGGCAGTGAAACCCAATAGGATATAAACATTCTTGTCCTGGCAACAGTCGTAATGACCAGTAAACAGAAGTCACATGCACTGGAAATCTAGTGTTTTCTGGGGGCCCTGTGGTGTGTGGGGGAGTTTTTCTTCTGTTACCAGTGAATGTGTTAGGAATGATGTTGGCAGCGGTCGCTTGTGCCCTTGAAGATATTTTGAGCTCCAGCGTTTCAAGCTTTCAACTATGTTTCTGTCCCACTGACAAGTAAACTGTTAAGCAAAGTTTTGAAAGGTTGGCCAACATTTTTTAATGAGGTGTATCTCAGTTAGATAGAAGTAAAGAAGCAGATGTAAATATCAGCCACCAATATCAGCCTCTTTAAATCAATCTCCAGCAGCCGACAGAGGACAGTGTCTCACTCAAGTGTTTCTTTCTGGAAAATAGACAAATATAGGGTTATCACCCATTAACACAGATCTCAAAGCCATTGCTTTCCCCTACCCAACACACACCTCTGCACAGACCATATGTTCACTTCACCGGTCCCTCCTACAGATCAGAGGCTGAAACATGTTAATTTGTCTTTACTGGAAATAGACATTCATGCCAATTCACTTTTTAAGTTCTTGATAGATGCCGAGTTCCACATTGCATATTTTTTCATTGCACTTAAGGCTCTAAAGGCAAATTTATACTTGACCTGTGAATGAAAAAAATGATTGATTATAAACCTTGAATCAAGGTCCTTTTTTTCAGAGCAATAAACTACATTTTAATCAGCCAGTGGAGTTGTTGGCTCAGTATTCGTCATGTGAAATTCATTCCTTATTGAGACTGACAAGAGTCCCTGTGTCTAGACACATGCCAACTGCACATACTCTAGACTAGAAGCCCATTTAGGACCGTCACTTTAGTAAAAGCTTGAGTTGAATACAACCTACATAGTCTAAACCTAAACTAGCATTAAATTATCTCATGCCTCTGCCGCCTCGTTTGGCATGGTGACTTCAGACTTGCTGTCTTTACTGTACCGGTGACATTACTTTAAGACAGTGGCACCTTTGGTGTCAAACAGCTTTCTCACCTAACTAGTTATCAGAGGGTTTAATGTCATGAGTACAACTCTCTAGTTTCTTCTGTGCTGGTTCAGTGACAAGAACAATGGGGCATGTAGTGTAATGTAGTAGATCAGACAGCTTGTTGAGCTCAAACACAGTGAATTTCAAACTTGGTCATTTCAGATAGTGCTTGTTTCCTACACTTTTAATACTCATTTTAAAGTAAGGTAATCAGAGCCCTAAAATGAAGTAATACATACAACATTCCCACTAACAAAAACTAAATGTGAAATAACAGAACAAAGATGCATGAGTGACAGAATCATCAACAGAGGAGTTGGAACAAGTCAAGTTCTCTCTGCTACATCTGGACATAAGAGATGTACCTGGATCAATGTATTTGTATTAATCTTATTTCTGTGACTGGACATGTAAGTACTCATGTTTCAAAATGCTAGCACAGACAAGATTTCAGAGTAGACTTCAGTGATTATTTGGGCAAACCAAACAACAAGACACAGAGAATGTTGTTTTTTATAACCCGAAATTATCCCAGTTATCAGACTTGTGGTTAAAGAGTTACTGATATTTGACTGTGAGATCTCCTTGACATTCTTGTCTCACTGCATATTCACTTCCACTGTATTCACTTTGACAAAAAGACTGTAATAGTCAGTCAAAACCTACTAGAGTCAACACCCAAAGGACCTTAATGATTCCATTACTGTGCTGGAGATGGAGTACTGGAACTATCGTCCTGCCATTATCACTCTGCAGTTCCCCTCAGCATCTTTCAGCTCACAGGAGCAGGCTAATCGATCATAATATTAACTATTTTGATGAAAAGTCTTGTGAGTGAGAACATGAACTTTCCCTGAGTGATTAATGTGCAGCAGTGTTTTACTGGGCTCAGTATTGCAGTATAGCTCAGTAACACTTCACCAATGAGCTGGTATTGACTCTGATTATGACTGCCTCGCTCTACTCGACTCCACCACGCCTGTTTTTGATTTTCACTAAAATCACTGGTATAATAGATCTAACAGTGTTCATGTGGGCTGAGAGAATGAGGTAATAAATATGATAGAGCAGGGGCAGGGCATGGGACATGATAAAGGGATTAATGGCTTCCTATTGGTGAATGAAGAGCTGGTGGAGGGGACGTACAAAGAGGAATAGGGCCTGTGATGGTTATGGGAGGTTGTGTGTTTATGAGTGACATATTGATGAAAGAGAAACAGAAATGGTATCATGACATAGGTCTTTGCATATAGAGAATCAGTTAGTTTGAAATGGTTAGTGAGCAACATGACCACATGGGAAGAAGATGGAGTAAACTGTGACTTTTTTCATCCAACTTCCTCTTTCTGTTGTTGTCCTCTGGAACAAACGACATAAGACCTTGTTCATCTCTTCAGAAAACAGTCGTCTGGTGTTTTATGGTCCAGTAGAAACAGGTAATTCCTGTTCTTGGATGAAGAACAGGAATCACAGTTATCTTCTTCCCAAATGTTCCATAGCTGTCCTACATTTTCTGTACATCTTTTATAGTAAGATATTTGGATATCATCTTTATCTTTTGAAATTTCTACTGCACATGACGGCTGTATACAGACAAGTGACAAATGAAAGGAAAAGCCAACATAACGTGTATTAGTAAGGTGTTGGGCCCAAACAGCCTCATTGCACCTTCTTCATACTTGAGGGATGAACGCCATTCTTCCAAAAGAGATTCCCTCATGTGGTGGAGGCGCTGTCTAAGACATCAGTCTAGGATCTCCCATAGGTGTTTCACTGGGCTCAGATCTGTGACTGTGAAGGCCACAGCATATGGTTCACATCATTTTCATACTCATCAAATGGATGGATGGGGAAAAACCTATCACACACTTTACATTTGTGTTGCAGTCTCTCCGTTTTTAAGATTATTCTCACTTGGTATTCTAAGATACTGTATCTCAAAGCCACGTAAGCGCCACCCTTCTCCTCCCTGCCACCCGAGCAGCACATGACACTCTTAATACAGATATTAATAGAGGTCATGAGTGATTTAGAACTTGTAACTTCAGCCCCCACTCTTTACTACCATGTATAGTATATCAAGTTAAGGATATGAGGTCATTTCTCAGTGTAATCTGGCATTTATATGAAATTGACAAGAGAAAGCGTATTTATGCTTCTTTGAAATGTGTTTTTGTGGTGTTTTAGAATAAATTTCCCATATTTATCTTTTGTCCCAGTCCTCACAGAACAATACCACATCAGTAATATGTGAATTTTGTGGTCAGCTCAACACCCTAGGCTAGAAATCAAGGTGTTTGTTTGACCTGCACACATACAGAGACACACAAACACACAACTATTTATAACTTCATAACCAGGACTGGCTCTGCGCCACAATAGCACAACACGATACAACATCTAACCCAGCTTTGATAGCCAGCTTTGATATTTCACTCAGTCCCTCCACATGCAAGAGTGAAGTCGTACACATGTTGGGAACAGAGAAAAAAAGGCAGGCTCCGTTAATTACAGGCCTGGAGGAGGAGGTAAAGCTCTCCCTTTTCTTTGAGATCTGTCTTTGCACTTTGTTGTTTTGATGTTTCCTCCCTTTTTCCAGAATGGACTTAATGCACTGCACCTGGCAGGCAAGGAGGGCCACGTGGACTTGGTTCAGGAGCTGCTGGAGAGAGGTGCAGCAGTGGATTCAGCAACAAAGGTGGGATAACTCACCTTCTTACTGAGTAAACATCAGCTCAGTTAAGCGTTTCCATACGTAACTATCATAAGGGTTGGCTATGGAGAGTGAAGTTACTTTTTATTTGACCCTAATAGTGTATACATGATTACTAGCTTAACCTATTAAAAAAGAATGAGTCATTTAATTAACCAAAACTACAGTATTCATGCTGATATTCTTCCACTTAGAGATTTACCTTTTAACATATAATGGTGATATCTTTCTGTTCACACCAGAACGTGACAGAACAAAGTGCATCAGCATGTCCTTGCAAAATTCAGTAGGTGGTACCTGATCATTGCTATTTTGCATCATTATTCACAGCTATAGAAGCACAAAATGATTTGTTTTTTTTGCAATGCATTGTGGGATTGTTAGCAGAAGGTAGTATACATGGTATGGGCACTAGATTTTCTTTATTCCACTGTTTCTGAGGGCATAGTATAGTGGATAAAATTCACACTTAGAATTTGGATACTCAAATAAAATTGCAGGTCAGATTCTATACATGATAAGTTAACCAGCCTTGACCTACAGCTCATAAATGTTAAACTTTCCTCTGAGAGTGTAACACTATCCACAGAAACCTTACACCTAGGAGGCACTCAGTCTCTGTTGCTCTGAGACTACTTAGTGGACAAGTTCAGATCGTAGGAGTTTGAGCCATTGTATTTACATCTTAGAGATGTTTTAGAGATCTTTCGAAACCTTTAGCTCTTGATTTTAAACTACTCCACATGTATGGAGGCTACAACAGCAGATTTAATTCTTAAATAATGCAAAAGAAGCCAAGTAGTCCAAAAGTCAGGGATGTAAGTGGTGATATTTTTGGCCACAGACGATCATAACAAGTGAAGGCTATGGAGTATCAAACGGAGAATGAATAGACCAGGTTTGAAAAATGATTAACAATTGTAAAATCGGAATAATTTTATAAGATGAAGTCTGATTATCTTTTTGAAAAGATAATTTCCAGGTTTACAATTGACACCATTCAGCGAGATAAAATGCTTCTACAGATGACTCAGAGTGCAGAATTAAAGCCGAGTATGAAGCAAAGCACTAAAGGGAAGTGATATGGATAGTGGAGTAGTAAAGGTAGAGGTCTGATGATCAATCAGTGCGGAGGATTTCAACTCCTATAATCGTAAAATAAGATCACATTCAATGGCGAGAAATCACCTTATTTTGCAAGAAGAAATTGTACATCAGAACATTCCAACTCTTCATATTAGAGAAGGTACAAACTCATTACTGAGCAGGTTCCCAGTCTTGTGATCCTTGTTGGTGTTGCTCTAAAAAGCAGCTACATACTGTACTACTCTGCAGGTGCTTACCAGCACAGCTGAACAGTTAACTGGAGTGAATTTTTATTTATATAGCCTGATATTACAAGCCACATGTTTACCTTGAGGGGCTTTACAATTTGTCCAGCATACAGCACACTCTGTTCTCAAATTATATAATTACAAATCTATTTACTAGTTACTTTTCAGACCTCATTTAAATCAATGTCTAGTTGGGGTCCCTATCATGTTTCAGATGTGTTTATCCAAGATACATTCCCTCTTTGAACTTTTCACACTTTTCACTTTTATAGCTGCTGTAGTTTTATAAAAATAAAACTTAGCTGTAAGTCTTAAAAGTTTGTACAAATTTTTTCTTTTTTTCTTTTTTCCTCACCTATTAATCATCTCACAGCCCTCAGGTTTATCTTGTGACCCCTTAGAGGGGCCCAATCCCTAGATTGGAAACCACCAGATTAAACTAGCTCCACCTCCAGCAGCAGCTACAACAGTAAAATGCTGCTTACACATTCAGGCATCAGTACTCATCTGTTATATCAATCACAGTGGCTGTGCTTCTGCAGAACAGCGACTTTTAGTTAAATTTAGCTTATAAGTTGTGTACTTGTACTTAAGTAGAATTATGAAGGCTAATTAGAAATTCTCCTCTCAGCTGCAGCTTTGTATTTGTTTATTAAAATGAATTAAGTCTGGGTCTCGTCAGCTGTTCATTATTGCAGAGCGTTATTTAAAAGCTGAACTGTCTAAAACTCAGAGATACCATCTTTTAATAAGATTCGGTCATTAAAAATATAGCAGTCATTATTTTAGAAGTAACTCTCTTTTAAGTTGTTCTTTTTTGTTTCCTGTTAATCCAGAAAGGAAACACAGCACTTCACATATCATCTCTAGCTGGTCAGGCTGAAGTAGTAAAGATTCTGGTCAAACGTGGAGCTGACATCAACGCACAGTCTCAGGTGAGTCTCAGTAGTCTGCTGCTGAAGTTCTTCAGTGGTGCAGTCCTTTTAAAGGTCATTCACAGTAGCACCTCCTCGATTAGCTGTATTTGGTTGAGGAGTGAATTTTCATGACCTGTAGTTTATTTATTAACCTCTAGTATTTGCCCGTGTGCTGTAGAATGGATTCACTCCTCTGTACATGGCCGCCCAGGAGAATCACCTAGATGTGGTGCGATACCTTCTGGAGAATGGAGCGAACCAGAGCACGGCTACAGAGGTGAGAGGAGTGTGTGTATTAAAATTAGCCATACAGTGGCATCATACTGTATATTGTATAACTGGTAGGTATTATCACTGAACACAAAGTGGATATGAGGCCGATGCTAACCCCTCTTTTAAAGGTTGAGACTGGATAACTACAAATGTTTTACTTTCTAGTATTGAATAAAATGAAAATGAAATGGAAAGTCAAGGGTGGACTGGCTGACATTGCTAGAACTTCACAGCTAGCGGGGCTAAAAGAGCATTATTTTTAACCATTGCTAACATGTTAGGTTTCATTAATGGTAGCTTACCTTCATCATACTTAAGGCGTAGATTCAACTCAGAACTGTAAATCAAGCTTAAGTAAAAAAAAATGCCCTGAAATTAGTAAAAGAGTATTTTTGTTAAAAAGAGAAACTGAAAGCAGTAGAGTTGTGAGTACGATATAATTGTTTTGTGTAGCAGTGGATTTACTGCTGTGGAAATTATGCCACAATTACCATATCAGTGCTTATAGCGTAGATGAGGCTAATTCTCTTAACCGTTTTCTCCTCTACCTTCTCTTCCCTACCTTCCCTCATTTAGGATGGCTTCACCCCTCTGGCCATTGCCCTTCAGCAGGGCCACAACCAGGTGGTTTCTATTTTACTGGAGAATGATACTAAAGGCAAGGTTCGCCTTCCCGCCTTGCACATTGCTGCACGCAAGGACGATACCAAGTCAGCTGCCCTGCTGCTCCAGAACGACCACAACGCTGATGTCCAGTCTAAGGTACGCCTATAGCACTGGAAGGGCTGGCATGTGTGGACATCAGACTAATGTGGTGCAACTTGTTTGTGACAGTGTGTCTATTTTGTGATTATGAGAAGCTACAGTGGGTACGGAAAGTATTCAGACCCCCTTAAATTTTTCACTCTTTGTTATATTGCAGCCATATGCTAAAATCATTTGTTCATTTTTTCCTCATTAATGTACACACAGCACCCCATATTGACAGAAAAACACAGAATTTTTGACATTTTTGCAGATTTATTAAAAAAGAAAAACTGAAATATCACATGGTCATAAGTATTCAGACCCTTTGCTGTGACACTCATATATTTAACTTAGGTGCTGTCCATTTCTGCTGATCATCCCTGAGATGGTTCTACACCTTCATTTGAGGCCAGCTGTGTTTGATTATACTGATTGAACGTGATTAGGAAAGCCACACACCTGTCCATATAAGACCCTACAGCTCACAGTGCATGTCAGAGCAAATGAGAATCATGAGGTTAAAGGAACTGCCTGAAGAGCTCAGAGACAGAATTGTGGCAAGGCACAGATCTGGCAAAGGTTACAAAAAAA